TATATAATATTTTATTTTATTTTATTTTGAAGTAATTTATTATTTGAGAGATTAAAAATGAAAAATTTTTTAAAACGTTGATAAATTTAAAATTTAATCAATTAACCCAAATGTTTTAAGATTTAAGATAAATTATTTGCTTTTTGAAAAGTCCAATTCTTATAAAATATTTTATTTAAAAATATTAGAATTATTAATTAACATTCTAATTATAATATTATGATTAAATCAAAAGCACTCTTAATTTAATGACTTTTTTTACAATTGGTATCTTCCCAACTACAAAATAATTTTTTTTGAACTAGAATTATATAACTTAGAGATTAGGCCACCAGTCAGTCCACTAGCAAAGTGCAAAACGGTGCAGAAACCAGCAATGACAGTAGCTACCACTACCGCCTGTTCCTTGCAGCTCTCTTCCTCAGCCGTTTACTGCGGTTTTCCGCCGCCTGATTATGGCTTCGCGGTTGTACCAAAGCCGCGTCAGCGTCTGTCTTTCAAGACCAAAGACTCTGATGTATTCAGGTAATTGGAAAAGTTTTCCTCTAGCTACTATGTTTGGTTTTATTAATTTGGAAGATTGCAACACCAAGCAATCTGGGCAAAAATATTTCCATTTTTCCAGCTTTCTAATTCATCAATAATATGTGAACATTTTCTAGCGAGTGGAGTTATCTGATTTGAGCAATATTGTTGTTAATTTTTTGGTGGATTTAAGATTGTTGAAATCATTGTATTCCTCTGAATTTATAGTTGTAATGATGTAGGTGCTACTCCAGAAGTACTGATGAACCCAAAACAAGGTTGAATCTCTTGGATAATGCAAGCAACCTGCTCACCAATTTTCTAAGTGGGGGAAGTCTTGGTTCTATGCCTATAGCTCAGGGGGCGGTTTCAGATTTGTTTCGCCAGCCTCTCTTTTTTTCACTATATGATTGGTTTCTGGAGGTACTTAGTTACTTAACCTTTTATGGATTTGTGTTAGTAGGATGGTGGTATTTTGCTCCCCTAAATTGCTCATGGTTCCCCTGATGGTAGATCTGCAGACCTTATTTCAGTGGTGGAAGAGGTTTGATTTGAGTCTTAATTAAATTCTGGATTGGATGCTGCTTGCATTATTGATATGCAACCTTATGGTTGCAGATTGTCTCTTTATCATGTTTAATGAGCCTTTGTTACATGTTAGTGGTGATGACTTGAAGCTGCTGACTCAGTGTGCTTTATTTTGATATCTAATGATGTGGCAGCATGGCTCTGTCTATAAACTTGCTTTTGGGCCAAAAGCATTTGTTGTTGTCTCTGATCCTATTGTTGCAAGACACATTCTTCGAGAGAATGCATTTTCATATGACAAGGTACTATCTTGGCATCTTGCGTATTGGTAGTTGATTCTTAAACCAATGTCAAGATCTTGTTTAAGTTTTATGTGCAATCTTTAAGTACCATAATTAATTAGTCATTAAGATATTGTTTTCCATTGCATTTCACATTTCAATTACTTAAGAAAACAAGAGCTAATAAGCCTGTAGAATTTACTAAAATTCAATGTCCCACTTGCTTTCAAATTGTTCTTTTGTTTTGTATGAAGCACTCAAACTGTTTAGCTAAAGTCATTCCAAGCCGGGTGCCTTGTTAACTCCAACTAGATCTTCTCTCTAGTCTTCCAAGTATGTGGCACTTTATCCCCCCCAGAGTTAGGGGCATGCAGATAGTTTAACAATTGTATTTCTTTTGTTTCTTTTTTTTTTATTCCCTCCTACCTTCACCAGGTTTACCACACTACCACATAAGTGGCACCCTCTTTTCTTTCTCTTGCCTGATTTCCTCCCCTTCTACTCAAATACTTACTTCCTAATCCTTCATTAAAACCATGTGAAAGATTCCCCTATGAAACTGATCTGGCTTAGACTCAGAAGTTACTTGAACACTCAAAAATGACAAGAAAGAATTTTAGGTGATGGTGGCGAAGCTGTTGGCTTAACCATGATGCACCTAGCCCTAGGTGTGAAGGGTCAAAAATTAGAGAAACATATTCTTGTCCTTGTTCTTGCTGACTTAGCAGCCACAAGCACCTATCAATGTCTATATAAAATACTCTTCAAAAAGCTTTTGATTATTTGATAAGATGTCTTTGGGATCGGAGTAATCATTTTGATGCACAGGATTTCTATATAAAATTTTTTGATTTGTTGAACCCAAATATGCAATTTTAACCAGGGAGTTCTGGCTGAAATCCTAGAACCAATAATGGGTAAAGGACTTATACCCGCTGACCTTGACACTTGGAAGAAGAGGAGAAGAGGTAAAGAAGTTATATGTTTTTTTTTTTTTGGCTTTTGGCTTTTGGCTTCTCACATATGCCATTTACCAATATAGGAGTCATGTCAGATGTTCTAAATACTTGTTTATTGCATAAAATATTATGGTAGAGGAAGACATACTGCAATTATTGTAATTGCAAAAACCCATATCCTGAGCCAGTAAGGGGTCCTAACCCCAATATGGTATCATGTAAAAGTAAGAAAAAGACATAATCAACCCAAACTATAATTATAATTGAAAGTGGGAACTAATAAATAACCTAAAAAAACTAATTTGCAGATTAGCCCTAAAGATTACAATATTGCAAAAAAACATGATTTTTCTAGCAAAGTTTCTTCCATTACTGCTTAACTCTTTCTCTCTGATTCTGTATTAAGAAATTAGTACCGCTATCATGGAATAGCTTGAGTTCCTAGAAATAAACAATGCCAACAAGATACCATAGATTCAGTTTGAATCTTTTAGAATCTAATGCATATCATTACCAAATAAAGGGGAAAAGGCTCCGGCTAACCTAGCATGTGGTAGATTCTGTTACCAGCTCCTGATGTTGGATATATTGGTTATGACAAAATGTATATATTGTATACTTGTAGCCTCTGGTGATGCTATTTCTTTTGAAATTTTCATTTTCATCTATAAAGAAATTTAAGTTTAGTTTTACTGTATTTTAACATTTTATTGTAAAAATGCAGTTATTGCTCCTGGGTTCCATGCATCATACTTGGAAGCTATGGTCAAAATATTCAGTGATTGTTCAGAACGAACAATTATGAAATTTGAAAAACTTCTAGAAAGTGAGCAATCTCTTGCTGGAGATACAGTTCAGTTGGATCTTGAAGCAGAGTTTTCAAGTTTGGCCCTTGATATCATTGGGCTTGGGGTCTTCAACTATGACTTTGGTTCATTTACAAATGAATCTCCTGTGATTAAGGTCCAGCAAAACAAACCTGCTTCCATTAAATTCAGCAATGTTTTTGCATTTTCCTTTTTGTGTCCACCTCCGCTTGGTAATGAAGTTTACTTAATTGCGTTAGATAGTGCCATGGGTTACTGAAATTCTTAATCTGACTGAGTTAGTCATTTGAGTGCAAGAAGGAAATGTCAGTTCTCTTGAGCTTCTTATAATGTCTTACTCAATAGTGAAGTGATTCAATATCCTTGCTTAACAATGTGGTGTGCACAGTCCCTATTTTGAATCTCAATCTCATCTTTGCAAGTATGGTATCTTGAAATGTCCTTATCATTAGTGTGACTATACTGCTGATTTTGTGACATGAGTAAGTGTTAAGCTTCCCAAGTGCCTGTCTAATTGTCCCTTTAACACCTAACTGGACATTTTCTTGCTATTTTTGTGGTGACTAAAGGTCTGACTATAGAAGTAACTGCTCCAAACGATTTCTGTTGAAATATTAGAGTACTGAAGAATAAATCTTGAACTGGTGCTACTATTGTTAAGTGTAGTGTTTCTCAATCCTTTGCTCCAGTTTATAGTATAACATTTGTCTTGAGAAAGCCAATGCTAACTCTTCATTGTTCACCTTTGAAAATGTATTGCAGGCAGTATATGGTACTCTTTCTGAAGCTGAGCATAGATCTACTTTCTATATCCCTTACTGGAAAATTCCTCTAGCAAAGTGGGTTGTTCCTCGGCAACGGAAGTTCCAGAATGACCTGAAGATTATTAACGAGTGTCTTGATGGACTCATCCGAAATGCAAAAGAGACTAGACAGGTGGAGAATTCAAATCAATTCAATTCTTTTAATAAATGTTGTGAAATTATTAGTTATTGTTTGTGACTGTTCTGTATGTTTGTGAATTTAGCCATTTAATTTGCATCCAGCTTCCCACATGTTAAATGATGTTGAAATTTGGTTAATATGGCATTTCTTGTGGTCTTATATTCTAGGTTTTTGGCTTCTACACGTATTGCCAATTGATTTAGGTGGGTTGCTTTAACAAGCTATTAGAGCTCGGGTTCATTAGTTGCTTCCTCTGTTGTTTGGCCCCCTTTGTGGTCCATTTTTTAGGCCTGTGTTGTCTTGTTTTACAAGGCCTACATGTGAGCAGAACGGCAAAGTGGTTTTACCCCATGTTGGTTGAGTTTGGGGTTTCCTGTGCTCAATTGGTTTGGTTAGAGGCTTTAACACCACATGTTATTGACTACCATTGACTAGAACTTAGCTAGCCTTGTTGGTATATATGGAAATGCTTAACAAAAATGAAAAATATTATTGACTATCCACTAGGAAAAGTGTATAATTTTGGATATGAGAGGTTTGGTATCAATGAATCCAAGGTTCAATTTGTTCTGCACTTGTTTTCTTTCACACGTATCTAAAAAGTTAGGAAATAATTATCTGTGGTCAATATCATTGCATCTTGATTAACTCATATTAGAAATGTGTTTAGCAGTCTCACAATGTAAAGATGGCTCCGAACCCCAAATTCTACTAAGTGTTGGGTTGGTGTTCTTTTTGTTTCAAGTTTTTAGTTTCTTTCCTAAAAAATAAAAACGAAAAAATGAAGAAAATCTGTCTTTTGATTGTTATTTTTGAAGAAAATTGAAAACAATAACTAGAAGGCATAACTAACAGCAAAGTATGTTTACATGCTTACTCACCTTAAACCTAATATATAAGTATAACATAACAAAAAAAGAAATAAATCTTTATTAAATAAAAAATATGTAATATGTATTTTAAAAACTTAATCACATAATACATGCATTTTATTATACTGTTTTTTTATTATATATTTATCAATTGTAATACATCTTTACATTTACTTCATTATTCTTTTTTATTTTATGAAACTTATTTTCGTTTTTCTTGTTCAATTTATGCATGATATATGCCATAAATTTGGATGTTTTAATATTTAATTTTTTATAAACTATAAATATATGATAATATGAAATATAAAAATGCAAAAGTGCACATGTAATAATAAATATATGTGAGATAGATATAAGAACATGCTAGACTCATTATGATGAATTTCATAATTTTTTTTGAAATATCTATTAAAGAATAGTGCATATCAATCTCAACTCAAAAAAAAAAAAAAAAGCGAACCTTAAACAATGTCATTTCATTAATCAAAATCCAATTCAAAAATTCAACTTATTAGATGTTTACACCTGCATTTAGAAACCAAAAACTCAATTCAAAATTCAAAAATCCACCTTATTAAATAGTACATATCAGTTTATAAATGAAAGTATGAACATTTAATACAATAGATTTTTGAATTTTGAATTGGGTTTTAATTAAATGAAACTATGTTGTTTAAGGTTGTGAGTCTAATTTTTTTTAAGAGTTAGGATTGAAATGCACTATTCTCTATCTATTATCTTAAAATTAAAATTTATGTAACAATAATCAGAATTTTTCTTAGTTTCTGAAACAAAACAAGAATAAGTACTCAAATGTGTTCTCAATTTTTTGAATCTTAACCAAATAGGTTGTAGAGCCTCCATATCCCCTCTTTTTAACTGTTTTTAATTTTGTGATAGATTATTTGGCAGTGATATGTGTTACCTAAATGATTGTGGCACTTATGGTGTAATGAAATTTGATTAAATATAACTAATGGTGCTGATAAAACAAAATCTGATGGCGGTGAACTTTTAGTTTTGAGGGTAGAGAACCAAAGATGATACTCTGTTTTTCATGCTATGGGGACTGAAAGTTGTTTGATAATAAGTTATTGACAAGAGTATTCCTCAATACTCTTTTCTTTCTAGATTTGAAATTCAATCTTGCTATCTTGAGTGTTCATAAAATGCATTCATATGTAAATTTCATCATGAGTTGGGTTGTCACATTGGAATTAAAAACAAATTTGGCTCAAGTTTAGCCTACAATATTCAATTATATTTTTCAGGAAAACCAATATGCATGGTTCAGTCCATGTTCATCTCCTTATTCAGATTAGGGCAATCTTTAGTGTTAATGAAAATATTGCAATTTCATGGTTTTGAAGTCCTAACAAATGAATTTGTTTGACAATGTAATTTTCTATAGCACCAATAAAACCTCAAACTTTTTATCGGACAGAAAAATGAAAAAATGATATGAAATAACTTAAGTCTTAACTTGAATGAGCAAATCAATTATAATAAATTTAGGTAGGAATTGGTTGGCCTCTCTTTTTTGTTATTTCTTATGTGAGTATATGTCTATAACTGAGAAGGCTGAGGTCCACGCAAAACTCAAAAATGCCATAAGATACCTTTTTCTTTTAGCTGCAATGGACTGCAACATCATGGCCCTCGGATAAGCAGGACTCACAGTGGGTCCTACTCATTCAAGGGCCAAGAGTTTGCAGCAAAATTATTTCTTTTCTTTTTTTTTTTTTAGTCTCAGAAATGCTTTAATAAAATACCAGGCAAGTACTATCAATGACTTTTGGGTGACTGAAATGCATTGGAAGTGTTATTCAAACAAGCTTTTATATATATATATATATATATATATATCAAAAGATTCAAAACTGAAGAAGCCTAATACTCTTAAGGAATGGGTAAAGTTGATAAACATTGATTTTTTATGTCCAACTGTCAGATATTATTTTATTGGCTTTTACAGCATGTGTGATTATAACTAAAGATAACTCAATTTTGCATACACTAAACAACAGGAAACAGATATTGAGCAGCTGCAGCAAAGGCAGTACTTGAATCTTAAGGTGCACTTATATCCTTTTATAATAATATCCGAGAAAAATTTCTTGTTTTCTATATCAAAAAAGTGTTGTGCAGTATGGACTGCACCAGACTTTGCAACACTTACCATTGGCTGGGGGGCCAGCCCCTTGTATATTGGGGGCTATCACCCCATCCAACATTCCTTGTTCTGCAGGGGGCTCTTTCTATATTACGGGTAATTATGATTATTAAGTGACCTTAGAAACATGTGGCACACTGGTGCAGGATGCAAGTCTCTTGAGGTTTTTGGTAGATATGCGTGGAGCTGATGTTGATGATTCTCAGGTAAATTATTTTCCACTCCTAAATCTGTGCTTTCAAGAACAAGATTGATAGAGACTCAACTTCATTAGATTTATTAAGTTGTTGTTTATTTTATTTTTTTTATTTATTTTTTTTTAATCTCACTCATCTCCTAATAGGTCCTTTGAATATTTGGGTAATACTTTGCTTTTGGTATGTAATGTGGTTGTGTGGACCCACACCACTTGGCAGGTTGACTCTGTCTTAAACCAGCTGTCCCTTCGGGCTGTTTTTGATATAGGTGAAACCAGTTTTTACCCTTAGGCTTTATTTAATATTCTTTTCTTTGTCTCTTCTTTTCAACAGCTGAGGGATGATCTAATGACAATGCTAGTTGCTGGTCATGAAACAACAGCAGCTGTTCTCACTTGGGCTGTTTTCCTTCTCGCACAAGTACAATTCTTCATTGCCTTTTTGTTACAAGTTTTTGTTCCTTGACAAGATAAGTTGCTTCTTTCCATCAACAAACTCATCCTTTCCCATGTTTTTTTGACAAAACTGATGCATGCTAGTTGTCAAAATGCAGAATCCTACCAAATTGAAAAAAGCTCAAGCGGAGATTGATTTGGTTCTAGGACTTGAGAGACCAAGTTTTGAATCAATAAAGAAACTGGAGTACGTTGGTCTTTTCTCAAGTAGACTTATTCTACTCCTTGTTAGATATTTTATGAATTAACTTTTACAAACTTTAAATTTCAATGTGTCTACTTTTATTCTGAGACCAACATCCAATAACTTTGAGATATGTGGAGTATACTCTTTGTCATTTAGGATGTACTGGTAAGTAGTCGCTACTAAAGTTCTTGAGTCCAAAAATCAGAAGCAATTAAATTATGAAATATAGAGATATATCTGTCATGGTTTAGGTGATCTAACTGAAATACTGAATAATCAGATACAAGTTAAAAGTATTACACCTGAAACAGATTGGGGCAATAGGTGAAATTTGAAGATAGCTGAATGTAAATGTACTATCATAATATATTCTGATTCCTAAATTAAGTGGGTGTGAAATAACACCTCTTCGTCAAGCTCTACCTCACATATAGTTCAATATAAAAGCTCATGCAAATTAATGGGCCTTAATGTACATCCTGAAAATGGGGTAATAAATGAATTCAGGGGAAATAAACAACTTGAACTTTGATGTTTTAATCATCAAATAAATAAATAAAAACTTTGATGTTTTATTGTCAACTTTCACTGTTATGATAGTGGGCCTAATCTTGTATGACATTATCTTCCATGCTTTTAGGTATTTGCGACTTATCGTTGTGGAGGCTCTTCGTCTTTATCCCCAACCTCCATTGCTCATTAGACGTACTCTTAAAGCAGATGTGCTACCAGGTATTTCTCATGTATATTACTAGGAAGGTTGGCAATTTGATTTATAAATGATAGTCGTCTTTTTTTTTTTCCTTATGGTTTCTGTACCCTTTTTTTTTTAAAGTGGTTGTCGGATGTTATAGAAGGAGAAGCCTTGGATCATGGTGGTAGAAGCTATGTATTTCAAATTTCTAATTTAGATTTAGAGTTTTAGGTACTATTGATTTTATAGTTTACTATTTAGATAGGTAGGTCATATGGTGCTACCTTCTGAAAAGATATCTGGCAAAACCTGAAATTGGGTAAAGGCACTTTCTTAAAAGTTCTCCTGGCTTATCTAAAAGCTATTTTAAGTTCAAGGGTTAGAAGCTGAAGCTATGAGCCAGTAACTTATGGAGTGGAGCTTCTACTAGTTTAGCTTTTGAATTTGATAATTTTTATAAATTTCTAAATTTTTTTATTATTTTATATGAATTCATGATTCTACACTTCTACAAAAACTCTACCCAAACATTACTTCTACAAAAGCTACAGTCAAGACAAACAGCCTTATAAGTTTCATTTTATTTTTTTATTATTTTATTTATTTATTTATTTATTTTGGTGATATTCTTATTATTTTAGTTCTAGAAATCCTTATAGTGTGAAACTATTGTTTTGCAAGCACATAAATATGGTGCAGTTTACCTCCATATGCTTTTGTGATACTGGGATAAGATAGGAATTAATAAGAAGGCAACCTAAGAAATTCTCAGCTATTAATATTAAAGATAAAACCACCTTAGGGGCACAGCAAATAAGTAACCACATTACATGCACACTTAACTTTGATATTCTTAAGGTATTATAATCTTGATACAAGCTCCAAGAATAGGTAGGGATCCCAAGAAACAACAATTTTTTCTTTCTTTCTAGAAAATAATGAACAATGTGAAGAATAAGAAGTAATTCTAGGAGACACTTAATACATTACAGTAGAAGACAGAACAGAAATTGGAAGTTAAAACTGTTGAAGTGAAAGTATGGAAACCACTTAATGTGTTTTTCATCAATCCTAAAGTTACATTCTCTTTATTATCAATATTCCTAAATTATATAGTGACTGTCCATTGGCCTGACATCAGGCCACATCTCATCTAATCATCTTGTCAGGTCTGTTCTGTCCTATAAGAATTCAATTATGACATCAAATGACAAATTATCGTGTCTTATCCTGGAATTTTTGACCCAACCTTGGAAATTTGGAATCACATTGAAGTTTTAACTTATAGACAAGAAAGAAACTAAATGACAAGACACTTGACTTTGAGTCTACCTGAATCAATAAGAAACAAAAGCCATGTGCTTCAATCTGTCCTCAAGACTTCAAAAATTTTGTTTCTTGCTTAATACGATGGATAATCTAACTCTACTTCAGTCTTCACGATTTTACAACCATGTTATGTAAACTCTATTGTATTTGATTTGTCTTTGTTCCCATTTTCAACTTTTTGTCTGGTGTGATTACTCAAACAAGAGTGTTTTGGGAATCCACTGCGGGTGTCCACATCCACACTCTAAAAACATGGGACATTATTTTTGCAGGAGGTTACCAAGGAGACAGAGATGGTTATGCAATTCCTGCTGGGACTGATATCTTCCTTTCAGTGAGTGAAAAGATGTTTTGTTTAATTTACAAGTCTGTTTGTCCAGTAAATGCTAAAGCAAGAAAACCTTTTGCCTTATTTAATCGGTTTTCAAAGCAATTGACAAGGGAAAAATATTAACTAAAATCTATCATTTGTCATATGGGCCATTTTATTATTTTACTTGTGTTTTTCTTACTCATTCATTTTTTTTAATTAAAATAAATATAACATATTTTGACTCCTTTCTTGTATAAAATTTGATTCATTTAGGTATACAATCTTCATCGGTCTCCATATTTTTGGGACAGGCCACATGATTTTGAACCAGAGAGGTTTCAAGTGCCCAAGGAGAGCAATGACAGACAAGGATGGGCTGGTTTTGATCCTTCTCGGAGCCCTGGAGCATTATACCCTAATGAGGTTAATTATTCTATCTCTTGCATACAGTTATATATAAGTTGTTCTGATATTTCATCTTTTTGTAAACCATGTTTTATTGTTTTGTTATTCAGATAATATCAGATTTTGCTTTCCTACCATTTGGTGGGGGTCCAAGAAAATGCGTAGGAGACCAGTTTGCATTCATGGAATCAACTGTAGCTCTGGCTATGTTGTTACAGAAGTTCGATGTAGAGTTGAAAGGATCTCCAGAGGATGTCGAGCTGGTGACGGGGGCAACAATTCACACAAAAAATGGACTGTGGTGCAAACTGAGGAGGAGGGAGGTACGTTGTTTTAGCAACGAAAAGGAAATGATTGTATGAAGCAATGCAAGAAGTAAAAGAAAAACAAATTTATCATTCTCAATGACAAATAAACCTTGTAATCAAATAATCCTAGTTAATTTATGTGCGCTAAATTCGCCAAAGTGCTCGCTCAAGTAACAGTATAGTAGAGATTAGGGGGCTGGGAGATTTTTTTTTATAGAGTCTAACTTGTCTCAATTTTAAATTAGTTAGAATTTAATGTGATTTTTAGATATTAAAAATTTAAACAAAAAAAATATGAAAAATGATATAAAGATAATTTTTTTGTATAACTTCACGTCTTATTTAAATAATTTATTCTTTTTATTTATTTAGGATTTATATATTGAATGTATCCACTCATTTAATGACATGAAAATAATATAAAAAAAGTACAAAAAAAGTTGTCCTTGTATTAACATCCAAATATATATATAGTAAATGGGTAGTGATATAGAGATAATTTTTTATATAATATTTTTGTATAAGTAATATATTATTAAATAAATGAATATATTTAATATTATAAGTCTTAAATAAATAAAAAGAATTATCATTTAAATGATATATAAAATTATATCAAAAAATGAAAACAATGTTGTTTCGAATCATTTTATTTGAATCATTTTATTATAATAGATAGTACACAATGTGTGGTGGTAGTAATTAGAGCATCGTTCCAACAAAGGCTATTGATTAACACAGTATCGAAATTACTAATTCAAAATTTATTAGAACAGATGAGAGAAAGATAATTAATTTAACTAAAAATGACTAAATAAAAATAGCAAATTAGAAAAGGTTTAACCAATACGAGATAGTGAGACACCTAATTTCACAATAACCAAAATAAAAATAGAGTTTAAATTAATATGCTTCTAAACAATTATTCATCTGAGCAAGATAGGAGGAAGATGAAGTATATAATTATGAAATATGTGGGTAACTTATTTATGATTAAAAAATGTCATATGGAAAGAAAAAAAAAAGGTAATGATATATGTACAATTGTTTTGTATAATTTTAATATATAACTTTCACATATTTAATAAATAAGTAAATATATATAATATTATAAATTTTAATAAAATAAAAAAAATTAATTATTAAGTAGAATAAAAATTATATAAAAAATTATCTTTTAATTATTTTTCGAAAAAAGGCCATGTCATCACCTTAAGTGTATTTTCTCTTCTATGTCATTTTAAAAAATGTGTGATTTTATGGCAATTTAATATGCCACATGTCACTCTCATCAATAGAAAGATTAAATCAATACTAAAAATTAAAGTTTAAAAATATTTTTAGTATTTTTTGAAACTTAAATCTAAAAGTTAAAAATTAATATTTTAATCTAAAACTTATATCTTTGTTTAACATTAAAAGAAGAACAAGAAGAAGAGGGACGATAATAACAATTCGAAAAAATCCATTGCGAGTAACCATACAATGGAGTAAGCCCCTGACTGTCCTAGGTTTGCAGTTTCGGTTAGTTTTTTCCTCTTTTGGGTGAATATTTAGATTGAGAGAAATGGTAGGGAAGGGAAATTTTTTTTTTTTATTAAATTATTAAAAGAATGGGAAAAGAAGAGAGGGAAATTTTTTTTTTATTTTATTTTTTAAAAATTTATTTACTTGTTCAAATGAAATGAATAGAGAGATTAAAATTGGGGAAATGATTCTGTAATAATTTTTTATGTCATTTTTTTTACAATCTAATATATCATTTAAATAATTAACTCTTTTAATTTACGTGAGATTCATGATATTGAATACATTAACTCATTTAATGACATGTGAAAATTCTATAAAAAAATAATATAAAAATATTATCTCTACAACACTACCCTTAAAATTCCCCCCTTCTTTATTCTTAACTCAAACATATGGTTAGGGTTTACTATGGTTAGCATTGTGTTTGATATTTGCAAATGAAAAGTGAATATCATTCATTTTTAAGTGTAGAAATTGTTTAAAATTTTAAATATCTTAGGGAAACCTTTTTATATATAGATTTGTTAAAAATATTTAAATTTTTTTATTATTATAAAACAGTACTGATTAAATGCAGGATACGGTTTGCTAATGTAAAAAATTATTTAAACAATTATTCTACTAAGAAATGAGAACCCAGGGATAGTGCAGTGCAGTATGCAATTTCCAAACCAACAGATTATGAAATAAACAATAATCCATGTTGGGACTACAAAGAACAAAATAAATCTCAGTGGATACAATATCAATCTTTCAAATAGTTGGGGACCTTCACATGCGCTGTCGATTCTTTCTTTCTCTTCTTGAAATGCTTACTCGCAGCTTTCAGCACTTTATTCCAACTCTAAAAATAATATTTCACCAAAAAATAATAATAATAAATCAAATTAAATCAAAACATACCCTCGTTTTAGAAATTAATTTTTTCCTAATATAAAATTAAAATTCAATAATTTCTTTTTTACTCCATTCGACTTATTTTTTGTAAATTTAATTTAATTTTTTTATTTTTTAAATATAAATTTTAAATAAAAATTTAATAATTTATATAAATAACAATTAAAATTTTTTATTAAATAACAAAAGTTTAATTATTATTTATATAAATTATTAATTTTTTAAAATTTATATTTTCAAAATAAAAAATTCAAAATAAATTTACTGAAAATGTAGCAGCAAGTAATCTGCAGAAGGGAGAAGAACAAAATCTGAAAAAAAAAAAAAGAAAAAAAAATTACCTTGAAAATAATTGGGGCACATTTGCCCTTTATAGGGGTTGGGGAGAAATCAGAAGCTCTTCTCTTCTTCCTCTTCTTGTTCTTGAAAAGATTTAGATTAAGGGCTCCGACGATCGTCTTCTTGGCGGCGGACCTGATTTTCTTAGTGCTGAGCTTTTGGTTCTCGGATTCGAGTTTGAATCCGAACTCAGCAGAGAGCTTCCTCGGAGTAACCGAATCGAGATCCATGTGGCTGTAAGCGCGAGGGACCAGTGGAGACCAGAGCGAGCTCTGCGAGTAGTCGAAATCGAAGGCGGAGTTGTCGGGGAACTTGCAGAGGAGGTCTCTCGACATCAATGGCCCCAAATACTCCACCACTTTGGCGGCGGAGAGGATGAGACTCTCTGTTTCTTCTGATTCGTCCATGCGTGGAGGTGAGGATTGCTTGCTTGCGGTGTTTGGTTGCTTTGAAGACCCAAAAAAAAACGACCGTTTCAATTTAATGAAATATTTTTCATTTTTTAGTAATACTCTTTTAGAGAAAACAAAAAGTGACCGTTGCGATCGTGTTTGGCAGTACATATTCGTAGATGTTTAGGTGTCATATTTCGCTGTGGTTATGGCACTCTTTACAGCAAAAACCCATCTTAAGCCCTTCAACTTTTTCGACAGCAAGTGATAAGCCCCTGACTAAAAAAGTGGCAAATAAGCCCTCCAACCACACGATGGGTGCAAATCAGCCCTTCCGCTAACTGACTACCTGACGCCGTTTTTCATCGGCTTCCGTGTCACTGCACCTG